CCCCCCCCCCCCTTCCCTTCCCTTCCCTTCCCTTCCCTTCCCTTCCCTTCCCTTCCCTTCCTTCTTCCCTTCCTTCTTCTCTAACTAGCTGCTGAAGAATCAGAGGAAGCCAGCCAGAACTATAAAAATAATAGGGATCTGTAAAGTAGACCAACTATTTGATAAAACATCTCCATCTCAGGGACAATGATTCAGAGAAAGCCAAGGAATCCAGTTAGGACTTTTCCCAAAGTTCAGTTTCCACATTCCTTCAGTTAGCAGAAAAGCGTTCCAGTGTTGTTTTTGCTATTCCCTCTGCTGATCCTTATCCTGCCACAGGAAGGATGATGCCAAATGGTTTAGTTCTTATTTTCTGTGTGCAGAACAAGTTAAAGAAAGGGATTGGTGGAGTCCCCCAGATTTGCTTTCCTCCTCTCCTATTAAACCTCATTAGACAGTGAAACAAGATCCACCAATCACATCATTCTTGTTAATTGGGCTGGGGCTGAGGAGGAGAATGCAAGTGTTGATGGATGATTAGATTGGCACATCAATATAAAATGTGTCGGAATAAGAGGGAAAACTTTAACACTGGAACAGCTAAGGATGACTTAAGGCTGTCTTAAGACTGCCTTGAGGATAGTCTGGGATCAGACTAAGTCAATATTGTGAAATCAGAGCAGAAAATAGAGATTGCTGGGATGTGTTTGAACTGGGGTTAGATGCAAGTAAAGAATGGCTCTTAAGTGAATTGAATACCCGTGAAAGGCTCTAAATGGCATTCCATATCTGGGCTGCAAAAGTCTGGACAGCCCCCAGATTCCAGCCAAGGGATAGTTAAAACTCACCCAGGTTTAAACAGCCCAGGCAGGGTAGCTCTAACATGAATAAGGATACAGCAAAGATTTTTCCTTAGCCATTGGTTGGATGGAATTAAATTGGGCAGCGGGGTGGGGGTGGGAGGCAGGAAGGAATTATTCTGTATACAAGATTAAAAACATGCTGAATCTAGCATATTTCTTGCAGAAAATTGAAACTTTATTTTTTTCAAGTCAGCTCTAGCAGAAGTCTTGCATGCCACTTAAATTTAAATACTGTACTAAAGTTGGACTAAATAAAATCTTAGAAAGATATTTGAAACAAATATATATTTATGTATTAATCAAGACCACAGCATTGGTTTAACTTTATGTTATTTTATTAATAAAATGTATGGACTTAAATTTTTAAAGGGACACTTTAGATTTGGGGGGGAAAAAACCCCTGAAGTGTAGGTGTTAATTTATTTGACACTTTGAATTAGTTTTGAAAATGAATGTAAGTTTAGAAAAGAGAAACAAGGCTAGTATATCTCCACATGAGCTTCACAAAATTGCTGGATGATATCCAGCCTGTATGAGGCAGGCTTGTGGTGGGTTTGTTCACATTTTACACTGGCACATAAACTGATCAAGCATGTTGTGTGAAGTTTTCCCATGAGATTCGTTTATGAGTATATCAAGTGTACTCAGGAAATTGACTTAACTCACCATGGTTAACTATGGTAAGCATGTAATGTGAACACTGCCAGTTAATTAGTCTTTTGTATTCCTAGACGCCCTTTAACTATCCATATTATATTTTAAATCATCACTTGTTCATTTTCATAGTGGGAAAAACAAATTCCAGGAGACTTAATTCACCTGAGCCACATATTTACATGTATATTCACTTGAGTCTAGTGGAAGGACTGAATTTGACAAGATGGCAACCAGCATAAAGGAATTATAGTAGTTGCCTGCTATATTTTGAAGACAATATATTTGAAAAGATGTATTTTGAAGAGAAAAGACCAATTTGCATTTATTATTATTATATTATAATTATAATTATAATTTGTAAATGTGAAGAATTAAGAATTGTTAATATACAATTTGCTTATTGGTTTTTATACTTTTGTCAGGTTTTGTATTTAACCACTGGTACTTTCTTGTGATACTAGGAATATAGATACTCTTTTCTTGTTATGATATATTTCTAATGACATAGGAATTGTATTAATGAAACTATGTTAGATTTGTAATCTATTGTTTGGGTTGAGTTTGAAAATTATTTTTGCATAATATGTATGAAAAGCAATTTGATTTGTCTATAATGAGTCTGAAGAAGTTACACATAACTAAACCTATATATTCAGATAAGGTTTTTTGCCCGCTTTTTAGCCGGTTTTCTTTATTTTATTCGAAGTGCTTAATAAAACACTTTTCTGAAATGTAGTTCACTTTTTAATAAATGCCTTTGCCATAGCACTCTAGAAGATTCCCTCTCCATATTTTCAGGCATTAGAGGCACCGTGCCTATGACTGCCAGTTGCTGGGGAACATGAGGAAAAAGCAACTATTACCTTGTGTCTTGTTTGGGGTTTCTTATTAATTTCTGGCTGGCAATGGATAGGAATGGTATTGCATAACTTGCTTTGATTTATTGTTTCCTGGAGGGGAGGTATGCCTTTGGAGGGATCAGAAGGGGCTGATCAATTGCTGATGTCTGTGAATGAGTCAAGGATCAATTTGACAGTCCAAAGGATACAGGGAGCAAGTCCAGCTCTTGGAGGAACTTTTCAAATCCATCTACCTAACGTGGTGATTCCAGGTAAACTCAGAATTGGCAGCCTCTTTCTTCTACAAAATAAAGGATTAGCCAAGATATACCATCCATCCTGAAAATTAGGACACAGAAAACTTATGATTGAAATCTACCATGATTGCTTTTGTGTAATCATGCATATTAGCAAATGCCTCAATATGCTCTTTTTTAATTAAAGAAACAAAATAATGATAACTTAATAAAAGGCAGAATAATGATAACCCAAAAAAGGCAAAAATAAAGAATGCAACTATCAGATCTGATGCCATACAAATATTAATAAAGATATCGCGGGGATTAATAATTAACAGTATAAGCAGCAATTAGAGCATGCAAATTTGCTGTCATTTAATGGTCTCTATTTATTCATTTTGATTATTGGGAGTTGGGGAAAAACAATGAAATGATGCATTGGCCCAGGGGAAAGGTGTGTAATGCAGAAAAATAAAAATAGTAAGTTTGGTAGCTGTACTTATGATGGGGCAACCTAGTAGTGTGGATATGATTTCAAGTAGGGTTGGTCAACTGACAGTTCACTGTACTCAGTTTTTCTTGCTGCCAAGGCCCTGAAAGATCTCACCACCAAGATTTAACATCAAATCACAGCCTTGTTGAGGGTGTGATTTACTACTGACTTTCAAAAGCAAACCAAAGGGTCTGTAGTATCAGATTGTTTTTACTTTTTTACGTGTTAAACCAGACAAACGTGGAGTTTTGAATCTAGGCTTGCCATCAATGTTTTGCCAATCCTTGTGGTAAGGGGTTATGATTATTTCTTGAAATTCACAATTGGTCATGATAATCAGAAATGGTCATGCAAGCCATGATGATATCACATACTGTATATCATGATTTCTTTGTGCAAATGACACCAAATATGTAACTCATATCATTTGCATCATATTATGTATTATTGTTTAGCCCCCATTGGTTTTTAATTTGGTTCATTACTCATTTCTATTATTTTATCATTTTCCTTCAGGTATCCCAGTGTCCATCTCTGCTGATCAGCTCCACAGTCTTCTGCAAAATTACAGTGATAATTTTACAGCTCAGTATATAAATGCCAATGACTTTTCTGTATCTAAGATTTCAAGCAACTGCTATCAAAGTATATGGACACTGACCTGGACTTCAATGATTGGTGATTTGCCCAATTTCATCAGGGTAATACTAGTTTTTAAACTCATTTTGTTCAGAATGTTTTATATTAACATTTGTTAATTCTCAGTATCTTCTCATAGATGCAGTCTAGCCCTGAGTCTTTCTTGCTTTCTTGTATGGTTTACTATTTCTCATTGTTCTTGATCCTTTCTACTTTGCTATTTTCTACATTTGGAGTTCCCCGATGAGCTACAACATATCTAGAGTTTTGATCCCTCAGCCAAAGCTTATTGAATCATTCAGTTACTTGATGCAGCTCTTTCCCAGCCTATTGAATTCTGACCTCTCTGCTTGACAGGAACATCACCTTGGTAGGCACATGAGGAAATGAATTGAAAGGCCACCCTACTGCATCTGACAGACTTCCAGTTTTTAGGAAAAATGCTGGCACAACACTGTGTTTGTCATTCTTTTTTTTTTTTTTTTAATGATATCAGCCAGAGCTAAAGATATATGTGGACCGGCTACAAATCACTCAGTGAACTTCCATGGTTGAAAGTGGAATTAAACCTTATTCCCAATCCCAGTCTTAACCTCAAACCTTAACCATTATACTACATTGTTGCCCACTTTATATCAAGACATTGTGTGTCCATGCTCACAGCAATTAAATTATAATATAAAATGCAATGTAAAAATAACATTACATTTGGTTATGTGGTTCCATCAGATGTTGTGGCTCCTTACTAACAGACAGTTTGGATAATACACATGTCCAGATCTTTTCCTGCTTTCCTGCCTTCCTGCTTCCCCTCCTACCCCCCTCCCCTCCCTTTTTTAAAGAACAGCAATCATGATTTTTTAGCAACAAGCAAATAAGTGACTTTTCATGAACGTATCCACAAATCTACAGGGGTTGCTTTTGCCATGGGAAAATCTCACACTGTAAGATATATTAATCTCACAATCACCTCTATGAGTTTTTCTTCAATCTTGCAACACTTAACTGTAAGGAAAGCTACTAAGTCAGTGGAAAAGTATGTGATCATACAGTTGTGATATTTTCACCCGTAATGGTTTGGGAATATGTTGCAGATAATTAGTTTCCATATATATTGCAATGCACTATATCAATGTATATGAGATAATGTAATGAAATGTTTGCATTACTAGTATGTTTACATTAGTAGTAGTAGCTACTAGTAATATTTTATTTTTTGGAATGATGTACAGTGGCCATCCCCACCCCAACATAGTGCCCCCCAAAATGGAATTCTGTGAACTGCAATACCAATGTACTTGGAGAGCACTTGGCTGGAGTACCTTGGTATGACATATGTTAAATGAAATATATATAGTAAATGCTACAATGTTGTCTCAGCAAGTAGCAGCACCTGGGCTCAGAAACTAAGCAGGGTCAAGTCTGGTTAGTACTTGGCTGGGAGACTACCACAGAATTCTAGAGCTATAAACTTGACTGGGATATTGAAAACTCATCTTGGAAGAAGGCAATGGCAAACCCTAGCCATACTATTGCCAAGAAAACTGCATGTTTGTGTCTATGAAGTCACCAGGAACTGAGCTTGACAAGAGGGCATCTTTACTTTTGTCTGTTATAGTCTCAAATATAGTTAATAGTGGTTCTAAAATTATAATTATATCCAAAGTATACAAGAAAGCTTTTTTTTTTTTAAGGAAAGGACAACAAAAATGTAGCTGGATTTGGAGATAGTTTTATGGAACCACAAAGTGGGTGGGCATTGGAGGACAAAGGCAAAGACTGCCTCAAGTTCACTTTGACTCCTGGTGACTTCATGAACATGACTATGTAGTCTTGGCAACAATGTGGGACATGATTTGCTCTGTGATAGGAGAGGAAGTTTAAAAAGAAGAAAAGTTCTTTAACGTGCACTACTCTTCTTTCCTGTTTTTTTTTTTTAATTATTATTATTATTTAGTTAGGGACATCTGTATTTTGACTTTTTGGGGGGAGGAGTGATTGAATTTATTGTCAAGAGTCAAAGAAAACACAGATACAATATCCAATGAAAGAGTAAGGAATTAAAACATAGGTGTCATGTGCTTATGCTACTAGATTATTAGTAATTTAATCTGCAATAGCAAATACCCAGAATCAGACATCAGGTGATTCCTGTATGAGATTAATATATTTTACAGAAATGATAAACACTAATGTGTTACTGAAATATGAAAATATTAAGGAATTTTATTTAATTTTTTCTTCCAAGGTCTCTGATGAAAACCTCACTGGTCTTAACCCAGCAGCTATGAGCTATGTAGTATTTGATGGTGGCGTTTTCATTCATCCAGTATTTGGAGATATGCTTGCTACCCCTAATAACTTTACACAGGTATGAAATTGACATAAATTATGTTGTGAAAATTGAGTATTTAAATACACCTCAGAAATGATCAGCGATCAAATAACTCACTGTGGATTTTCTCAAGATGCATATTTGTTTTAAATTGGTAAAACGTGGTAAGATTGAAGTTGAGAAGTGTTGGTGTTGGACTGGGAGAGATCCTGATTCAAGGCCAGCCTCAGCCATGGAAGCTCACTAGGTGACTTTGGGCCCATCAGTTTGGGCCCAAACTACTCCATGTGATGTTTGTTGTAGAAATACAATTAAGGGAAACTCCCATGTAATTTGGCTTGAAGGGAGCCAGTTTGGTGTAGTGGTTAAACCACCAGACTATAAACCAAGAGATCAAGAGTTCTAGTCCTGCCTTAGGCACAAAGCCAGCTGGGTGACCTTAGGTCAGCCACTCTCTCCCAGCTCTAGGAAGGAGGCAATGGCAAACCACTTCTGAAGTCTTGTCAAGAAAACTACAGGGCTTGACTCTTTTTTCTCTACATGTTATCCTTAGAATAACAAGAGCAGAGTTACTACCCAATCAGACTGTGAGCACTGGAGCTGTCTGGACCAGTAGCAGGGCCACCTTCTGGTAGGAGTAAAGCCAAGGATTCTCAGTTAATTTTGCTGCTGAGGCCACATAGATATTGTATGAAGCCCTCTAAGCCATTAATTAACATTGGTGCTTAGTAGCAAAACCTCTGAAAGGTTTAGCTCAAACTATTTTCCTTTGCTAGGTAAAAAAAATCTTCCTCAATCTTTTTGAAAGCAATTTATATGTATATGTAGGTAGGAAAAGATTTTTAAAAAAACTTTTCCCAGAATGAACCCTGTTTCATTACAAGGATACAGAATGAATGGAAAGGATCTTAATTTCAATCCAGTCACCTCTATGGAATGAAGAAAAGGGGACTGCAAATCACAGAGATTTCCACATTCAAGCAATTGCAATTTTACACATAGGCCCATCAGTCCCCAATGGTTGAGGATGATGATGATTTTTAAATTTTTATCCTACTGTTCCTCCTAAAGTAATCCACATGAATATAAACAGGAACAAAATAAATAATAAACTAGGAGAGTAGATGAATTTAAATAAAAATTTGATTATTATGCTATCATCCAATGGCCCATTTGTCTGTAGGAAACTATCTCAACTGGGTGATCTTCAGATGATGTAGATGTCAACTGCCAGAAATCTCAGCAGTGGCCAGCTGCTGGAGAAAGCTCCAGTGAGATGAAAGACTGGTCTAGAGAGTCATAGATGGGACCTATCTATTGGCATAACTTAATGGACTGGACCCTTTCATTTTCTATTTGCTGTCACTGAGGCCATAATATTACAGTAACTTGTGATTTATCTATTTTAAACTAGTCATTATAACAATGCTGTGGTTAATTCACACCAATATTTGAATCTTATGTTTTCTCCATATGGTTTGTTTGTTTGTTTGTTTGTTTGTTTGTTTGTTTG